CGCCACGCACCGCATTACGCAGTACAGTACGCTACTATTCTACGTGAACTCATTACAATATCACTCATCTACTGAATTGATATACTGGCTTGAGCAAATACGCTCACATGATAAAGTGTTGATCTCATCTGAAATAATAAACTACCATCGTGTCAACCTGGAACAGTTGTGTACAGTCTGTCATTTTACCGTTATCCGAACCACTATAAGAGCACATTAGGCGGAGACATAATACCCCCCACTTTCTTACATGGTCCTTCGAGCCGGATAAAACATGGCAGCTGAACTGAAAAAACTCAAAATTATACGACGCAATGCTAAGGGAAACCTAACCAGACAATGCACTGCACTGAAGAGGCTATGTTCGCAGGAAAACCCTGATTTACCAGAGATTACAAAGAGGGCTGCTCTATTGGGAGATTTATTCCAAACAGTGGAGGAGAAACACACAGAACTGGTTGCTCTTGTGGAAAATGAAGAAGATTACACCACCGAAGAGGCCTGGATGGAAGGATGTCAAGAACAATATCTATTTGAGAATGAACAGATAAAACGATTTATTAATGAGTTACAAAACAAAACAAGTCCTAGTGGAAAGGATAATGTTGTTGTAGATGGTAGCAATAATGCTAGTAGTAACCACAATGATACAAGTCCTAATAATACTCAAAATAATAATTCAAATGATAATGTTAGTGATAGCAATGAAAGTAATAATGATCAGATAGACGATGATGTAAATGATGTGATTGATGATAACAATGTCGCTAACCTCTCTTCATCCACAGTAGTGGCCCATCGGATGTGAATGCATTTAATTGGGAAGGCCTATTGCGAGCAATCGCCTTACCTCGAAGCCAGCCGAAGAAGTTTCGTGGCGACCCATTACGCTACCATGCCTTCATCACTTCATTCCATAGTACAGTTTCACAGGTACCTGATGATGGCGTTAAACTACAGCATTTACTTTCCCTCTGTGAGGGAACAGCCTATTCCGCTATTCAGTACTGCATACTGAAGCCAGCCACAGAAGGGTACCTAGCAGCTCTCAAGAAGTTGAAAGAAAAGTTTGGAGATCCTGGAGTGACAAAATATTGAAGAGAGATGCAGTCACCATCGACTCCCTCAGCAACTTTACAGATGATCTGGGCAATTGCTATGGCACTCTGGAAGCATTGGGGAAACTAGCCGAACTAGACACTATGGATGGATTGTCCAAAATTGTACATATTCTGCCATTATTCCTCAGAAATAAATGGAAAGATGTTAACTTCAAACTGAAAGCGAAAGGTACCACTGCAACACTTAAACACCTTGTTGAATTTGTCCAGAAAGCCAGGGACAAGGAAGACGACCCTGTCTTTGGCAGAACACTGACGAATAAGAAACCAGAAAGGGATAAACCCGTACACAGGATTAATATAAAGAACCAGCGATCCCCAACAACCATGAACTTCACGCAAGCTGAAGATAGCAAGAAGTTACCAAGAATGTTCTGTCCATATTGCAATAGTACTGAAAACTTCCCTGGGGGTTGCAAAAACTTCAGAGAATTGGACAAAGGCCAGATGATGGACTGGATAAGCCACAATAACCGGTGTCGAAACTGTGCAAGAAAACACAGCACCTCAGAGTGCACTCTACGAAAGGGCTGCAAATTATGCTCAGAGATTCACCTTACAGTATTGCATGACACCTTAACACCAACTTCTAATCCACATCCAGCCACAGCAACCAGCCAACTGTACAGTTTGTGCCAGCAGTATAAACCGAGAGACGTATTCCTAAAGATTATATATAGTCCAACTAGCCTGATAGACACCTATGCCGTATTAGATGATGGATCAATGAGAACTATGCTGCTTACCGAGGGAATGACACAGCTGAACCTAAAGGGCACGAAAGACAATATTGTTTTGAAGACAGTGGAAGATGGGTTGACAAATATCCCTGGATGGAATTTAAACTTACAAATATCTGCGAGAGGTGAAACCCACAACAGGTACAACTTAGATGATGCATTTTCATCCCCCATGCTGACACTGGGGAGTTATTCATATCCAACACAAGACATAAAGAGGGATTTCCTTTATCTTAAAGATGTGCCGTTGCCAGAGTTGATTGATGCTCGTCCGTTGGTTATGATAGGTGCTGACAATGTACATCTCTTGACCCACAAAAGTCCAATGCTTCAGGCCGGTACTAACTTCCCGGCAGCTGCACACACAGTGTTCGGATGGACCTTGCATGGGCCGGTACCATCGTCATCTACACGAACTGCTGTTACAGTGACCAATTACACAGTATGTGAATCAGCACAGTTGAAGTCAGATGTTCGAAGACTTTGGCAAGTGGATGAACTTCCTACAATAAAAGGCTGCGACTCGTTCTCGTCTTGACCAGATGGCCTTGAAGCATTTAGAACAAACCACCCAGTTAATCCAGGTAGATGGAGTAAACCGCTATGAAGTGCCTTTGTTGCGAGACAACAGCGGTACCAGATTTAAAGCTGGTGTTGAATCAGTAATTCCACATATGAGGAGGATTGAACGAAGTTACAGTCATAAACCTGAGATCGTTTAATGCAAGGCAAGGGCGAATTTATCAAAAACGAATTTTTAATGTCAAAATGCACTGTGTAGGCCCTGTCTCTTATACACATCTAGATGTGTATAAGAGACAGGTATTTAACTGTTCACATGAATTCCAGGGCCAGAATTTAAATAAGCACCTGCTGGCGGGACCAAACCTAGGTTCATCATTACTGGGCGTAATTCTGAGATTTCGTCAACATGAAGTAGCCATATCTGGTGATATTAAAGCTATGTTCCATCAAGTGCGTGTAAAGCCTGGTGACCAATCTTTGTTCCGATTCATCTGGAGAAACTGTGATGAAACTCAGTCACCTACTATTTATCAATGGCTGTCACTATTGTTTGGATCTACCTGTAGCCCCTGTTGTGTGACGTATCCACTTCAGAAACTGGCTATCGAGAACAGTGAACAGTATCCAGAGGTTAGAAGATCAGTTATGGAGGCATTTTATGTGGATAACTGTTTGGACAGTGTAAAGACAGCCGTGGAAGCTAAGACACTAATCCATGCCATAAGAAGATTACTGAACACTGCCGGGTTTAATATTAGACAGTGGGCCAGCAACAAACGAGAGGCTTTGGTCGGATTGCCTGAAGAAGCACTCTCGGAGAACAGCATACTAGAGTTCAAACAAGATGTTACCGAAGCAGAACCCATGTTGGGTATGCGCTGGGATACAGGATCTGACCTTCTGACGTACCAACAAAACCATGACCATCAAGAGGCTATCACCATGCGTTATATATACCGTACATTAGCACGACAATATGACCCTATTGGCTTTTTAGTACCCTTTCTTGTTAGAGGCAAGCTGATAGTACAATCCTTGTGGAGTCTAGACAAAATTTAGTGGGATGAAGAAATATCAAATTCCGAACTTCGAGCTAGCTGGACTCAATGGGAACAAGAACTAATATTCATTAGCCAAGTTAGCTTACCAAGACATTACATCAAATTGAAGGATGCCACATACCAGTTACACGTGTTCTGTGATTCATCCAAAAAAGCCTATGGAGCAGTCAGCTATCTTCGTGGAGAGCGTGATGGTAAGGTAGAGACGGCATTTGTGATTGCAAAATCCAAGGTAGCCCCACGAAAGCAATTAAGCATGCCAAGATTAGAGCTATGTGCTGCACTGATTGGAGCAAAACTTATCGACTTTCTTGTAAACACCTTGACAATTCCTGTAAGCGGAAAGCATCTATGGAGCGACTCAACTACAGTACTTACATGGATCACATCAGAAACCTGTAGGTTTTCGTTGGAACTAGAGTTGCAGAGATTTTGCACTTAACTGATGGGATGGACTGGCACTATGTGCCTACAGCAGAGAATGTGGCAGATGATATCACTAGAGGCATGTCCTTACGAGATATTGCCAGCAACGAGATATTGCAAGCAACCAAAGATGGCAGTATGGCCCATCTTTCCTAACTCAAGCTAGAGAGCATTGGCCAGTGATGCCCAATCTCCAAGATTGCCCTAAATGTGATGCTGAAATCAAGAAAATTGTTTTCAGTGGGTTAGTCGGTATCAATGTTGGAGATAGTGAGATAGACGAGTTAAAGGACTTTGAAGCACTTATACTCTACCTTGGTCAGAGGTTTAATGGGGCGGCCCCTCAACAACTAGAGAACGAAGCCTGGAAAATGGTACAACTATGCTGTTTCCCAGAAGAGGTTAGAGCCTTAAAGGCTGGATCCCCATTACCTACAGGAAGTCGTCTGAAGCAATTGAGTCCAGAATGGGACAAGGATACTGGTCTTCTGAGAGTAGGCGGAAGATTGCGAGAAGCAAATGCCATTCAGGAGCAAATGAAACACCCAATAATTCTTGATCCTAAACACCATATAACAAAAATACTTATTCGACATACTGATGTTAAGTTGCTTCACCCCGGACCAGAACGAGTTTTAGCAGAGTTGAGAAGGAGATACTGGATTCTCAGAGGCAGAGAAGTTGTCAAAGGACAACAGAGGCAGTGTCAAGAGTGTCAACGTTGGCGTGCAAATCCATCCAATCCCCAGATGAGAGACCTGCCGGCCGCACGGCTACAACTATTTAAACCAGTTTTCCATTGCACTGGAATTGATTGTTTCGGGCCTATGCACATAAAGGTTGGAAGGAGAACGGAGAAGAGGTGGGGAATAGTCTACAAGTGCATGACTGTTGGTGCCGTCCACTTGGAGCTATTGGAGAGCATGGACACAGATGCCTTTCTGTTATCCCTACGTAGGTTTATTTCTTGGAGAGGCCAACCGGCTAAGATATATAGTGATTGTGGTACCAATTTCAAAAGTGGGGATAAGGAACTCAGAGCCGCCTTCGATCTGATGACTGCTAATCTTCGAGAAGAACTTCGGCCATACATGGTGGAGTTCCATTTCAATCCCCCAAACGCTCCACATTTCGGAGGACTGTGGGAGAGAGCAGTTAGAAGTGTTAAGACTGCTCTAAAGGTAGCAATTGGCGAACAATTGGTTGCTGAACCAGTACTATTGACGCTTCTTGTCGAAGTTGAGGGAATTCTTAATTCCAGACCGCTAGGCTACACATCAACAGATCCAAGAGATGCAAACCCGGTCACGCCAAATGTTCTGTTAATGGGGCGGCTGGACCCGACCATGCCTCAAGTAGTGTATACCGAAAATGACTTGCTGACAAAGAAACGATGGAAACACAGTCAGGTATTGATGGACCATTTCTGGCGTCAGTTCATCCGTCATTACCTTCCGGCACAACAGATAAGACAGAAATGGTAAAAGGAGACTGAAAATCTCCACAGTGAAGCAGTAGTGCTTATTATAGATCATAACCTTCCGAGGGGGCAGTGGTTAGTTGGAAGGGTGACTAAAGTATTTCCTGGGGAGGATGGTAGAGTGCGATCTGCTGAAGTCAATGTCAATGGCAAACACTATGTTCGCCCCGTCGTAAAGTTGATTAAACTGCCAGAGTTGCAGTAACAGAGTTCCCAAGTTGTTGCTATTTAATTAGCATGTTTACAGTGTTATTTAAATTTAGTACCTAAATTTAGGGGCGGCTGTTACAAAGTATCTATTTAGTGACTGAGCCTTCATCGTTCGTTGCGCTGCAACGGGCAGCGCACGCGCGTTAGCGAACTTGTTCGCAACTTGTCTGTAAAATGAGGCAATCCAGCGTTCCAACTTCTATATAAAACCTTAATTACCAGTGTTTCGGTATGTTGTAATTATTATGAACCATATTGTTTGTTTTAGTAATATATCTTGACTTGCATAACCTTACTGTTGTGAACATATTTTGTCTAATTAAGTGTTAATAGGCTTTAAAGTTTAGACCTTTACCTAGGCCAACTGACGTTGTTCAGGCTGCCGTTCACGCTGATTCGTACAGCGAGGGGTTCCCTCGTTTGACAAGTTTAGGTCACGCGACTCATACGGTACTTGTTTATTAGGCCTACCTGAGACGACTATTGCTCAGGAGAGTACATACTGTTACTATTTCATATGCTATTAAGTTAAAGATTCATATGCTAGGCCTATTTATTATGCCTTTTATTACTATGTTATATTGTTTATTACTATTTTATTGTTTCTGGTTTATTGCAGTGATAAATGAACACACACATTACCATACACTACCACCACTTAGCTACTACAGTATAGTGTAACCGACGCCACGCACCGCATTACGCAGTACAGTACGCTACTATTCTACGTGAACTCATTACAATATCACTCATCTACTGAATTGATATACTGGCTTGAGCAAATACGCTCACATGATAAAGTGTTGATCTCATCTGAAATAACAAACTACCATCGTGTCAACCTGGAACAGTTGTGTACAGTCTGTCATTTTACCGTTATCCGAACCACTATAACAGCACATTAGGCGGAGACATAATATCCCCCTTTTCTTACAAATTAGATAAGACTTATAAAAAGCTATAGATGCCATAACTTCCAGGGGCCTCTTCCCCCCCCCCCCCCCCCCCCCCCCCCCCCTCGTACACCCACCGGGACCCTGGGCTTCCACCTGCACCCCCGCCAAAACTTCCTTATTTTGGAATTCGTCCCTCCCCCCTTTTCACAGCGGGTCGACGCCTTTGGTAAATTTAATTAACTAGCCTAAGTCACTAATAGTATGTATATCCTTATTTATCTGATGTGGAACACAAAGGTAAAGTGGGAGGCCATGATAACTAAATGAGGAATAATAGCTGCCAAGACAAAGTAATATGTCATAAATTATCAAGCATTTATTTGCTTTCAGTGGGTTGTGAACGTTGGGTGTGGCGGCGCAACATTTTTATGGTGGGGAGTGTGGCACACACCCTAGATACGCCCTGGTGACAAGTGTTTGGTGCATTGGTTGTGGTTTGGACTCCCAACCCTCGAGGTCAGGGGTTCAAAACTCTCGCTGTGCAAGTCGCTTGTGTCCTTGGGCAAGGCACTTTATCTACGGTTGTCTCTCTCCACCCAGGAGTACAAGTGGGTACCTTATAGGTTCAAACACAGCCTGCGCTGAATACAGCTGCAACATTATGGAATTCCCGTATGGGGCTGAGTGCGTGTTCCTTATGTGCTTGATCCAGTGATCCGGGGTTAATAATGTTCAAGCGCTTCGAGGTTGTGTCAACGGGAGGCGCTATATAAATCCAGAATTATTATTATTATTATTAAGTACAAAATAATTCAAATTTCACTTTTTGGAGTAATATAGAGGTTTATTTCACTCAAGCTTTCGCCAGAAAAAAACAATGGACATACAGTGCTCATCTTAATAAAAAATAAAAAAAAGAGACAAAAAAATGAAATTGATTATTGACAAAATTCATTATGATTGATGTGTTTTAGTTTTTGATCATCTTCCACCATGAATTGATTATAACACTGTTTTGAATGTGTATATGCAATGCATTCATTAATTTATACCTGAACGAAACATACAAAAACCATATCATTTAAATATTATTACATGCACCAACATCATTTCATTAATTTAAGCGGATTAACAAGAACATTCAGTGAGAACACTGTAACTTGAGACAAAACTCTTTTATTCTATAGTGACATACAAATGTCAAATCCATTTCCATAATAAATCATAACTGTTTATGTATACCCATACAAAAAAATATAAATCATAAAGAAACTATACCAAAAAAAAAAAAATATCTCAGTTCTTGCCAGTACAAAAGGATATATTCGAAAATCCATCAGACAACCTAAGAATTATATATACAGTAGAACCTCCATTTTACATACACTTCATATGATATGAGGTCAAAAATTATCAAGCTTTTATTTGCTTTCAATGGGTTGGTGAACGTTGGGTGAGGAGGCGCAACATTTTTGGGGTGGGGAATGTGGCACACACCCTAGATATGCCCCTGGGTACTACAAGAACAAAATAATTCAAATTTCACTTTTTGGGGTGATATAGAGGTTTAAGCTTTCACCAGAAAAAAAGCAATGGACATACAGTATTTAAACAAATTAAATTGATTAATAAAAAAATTAATTATGGTTGATGTGTTTCCTTTTTGATCATCTTCTACCTCATTTTACGACCCCTTCATTTTACATACACCTCGTATACGGATGATGATGTCAACAATATCTGCATTTTAATACTTAATTATTAGTTCTTTCTACATATTTCCAATTTTTTTTTTGTGATTATTTCATTCAGTATGTTGACAGACCAATAGCTGATAAGCACCTTGTCCAATAAGAATAGATTTGACCTAGTTCCTGCAGTATACTCATGCTTCTATCAGAATCCGACGCCACTACTAGGTTGTTGAATCAGGTTTTTTTTTTAATAATTTGCCTATCCAAAAAAAACAAGCCAATAATAATACAAAAAGCATATGAAAAACAAATTTATGTACTGTATATGAAATTCAGGAAAACTATGCATTCTATAATTTAAAATTTAATACTTCTATGACATTCACTGACCAATCACAATCAAGCTTGACTTGTACGAATATCGATAAGGAATTATCCAACTATGAATGCTAATGTCCATGCACTGACAACAGGTCAACGCGTGCTCTCTTTGATCCATTTTTGTTTGCCGTCCTCATGCTGTCATGTCTAACTGTATTGGCTTGTGATCCACCTCTATTGCTAGAAGTGCCCTTTGAGGTAGACAGCACTTGAGCATGGCGCGTCACTGTTGAGACTCCATCAATGAATTTGGTTTTAAACAATACATTGGCATTGTTGAACATTCCATCTTTAAGGGAAACAACAATGAACTGAAAAAAAAAAAAAATCATTGACACAGTTTTATTTTATTTTATATAGTTCTGTTCTTGTACAGTAGTTCAACAGCAAATAAAATTTACCACCTACAAAAGGGAAACATGTATAAGATACAGTAATATACAAACAAGAAAATATATAAGTACATACTATGAAAGGTCCTTAATGTTTTGTTTTTTTTGGGGTTTTTTTTTACATGTATGTATATATATATATATATATATAGAACTGGAGGTCGCTGGAACAGAATGTTGCTACTCGGAGTTTCACGCTATTGCGTAATTCATATAAGTATTTGGTAAAACTATCAAAAACAAACAAGTCATGGCAGTTGGAGCTTTCTAGTCTAGTGTAGGCGATGTCTAGTAATTTAACATGTGATAAGCAGGCATGTAAATGGTCTTTAATACTGTAATGCTTAATAAGCGCTGTCGCGCTTATAGAATTGTTGGAGGCTTCATAGTGCAGCGCTTATTCGAGAATGGCGATTATAAACAAAATGTTGGCATGGAACCTTCCATGCCCATTCCCATGTTACCTATCACAAGTATTTCCGTAGTTCAGTAGGCCTAGTATAGGTCCTACATCATTGTAAAATGTTTTTTAAAGAAATTTTTGTGCCTTCATTGTGTTATTTATTTACTTTATCACTTATATTGTATTAAAACCATGTTTCTCAACAAGGTGTTTCAGTACACACATTTTAATATATCCAGTAATATATTATACATTCGATTAAGCGCCATGGCACTTAATCGAGAGCGGCGCTTAGCGAAAAAAAAATCAGGTTTGGTGTGACGCTTATTCGAGAGCAGCGCTTATTCGAGAGCACGATGAATGATTGCATAAGGAGAGGGTTTGACTGACTAATATTCATCAACACAATGGAAACAACATTAGGCAACAAAGATATGCCACAAACAATATAATTATGGAACCGATGTGTGTACAATTTACAAAACATTGTGTAAATGCACATATCAATAACAACATACATTAAGACAATCTTAATGCTTCATGCTCTATAAATGAAACATAAAACTAAAAATGACAAGATCCACTACAGTAGAACAATCCAGTCAAAAAACAAAAGGAAAAGGCTTAAAAATGGGAACCTTTTAAACAGGGATTTTTGTTGTGTATACATACGGTAGTCAACAATGATCATATAAGATCCTCACTTCACATAAGCTTGAGAAGACAGTGCACATCAATTTTACTATGCCCAGGGCCACCGAGAGCAGTCGCGGGCCCTGGGGCATCTTCGCTGCCTGGGCCCATTGGTTGGGGATTTGGGGGCTGCCTGGGGCGCAAACAAGATCGAGGGGTAGATCCTTGATGGCCCTCCACACCCCTCAGAAGATACGGCCTTTTAACGGATTAGAAGACTATCAATTTAATTGATTATAGAGTGCCTAATTTTACCACGTCACAAAAATATAATGTAAAGAAACAAGAAGATTAAAAGCTATCCTCCATTTTATTCAAACGTGCTGAACAGATTCATAACATAGGTATCAAAGTTTACAGTGGTGGATACAGGAATTTGAAATTGAAGAGCTCCAGAGAAGGACTCTCACATTGGACGGTCCATCTACCTTAGCCCCACACCATGGTTGGTGCTGAGGTAAGAAAATTTATGGCACCCGTGGATTCCTGAAAATGGCACTTTTAAACTTAAATTTGAGTAGAATTTTCTTCCTTTCTCAATTTTTGTTAAAAGACTTAGGGGGTGGAGGATAGGCCTCCCCTCCAATCCGACACTGGTTTAATATATTAATTAAGTATTTATTTATTTGGAAATTGAATCTCTATCAGGTCTATTCATAGTCTTTTATGTATATTGACTATGTCCAGGGTCCAAGCCTTTTATAATTATAAATTAATAACAAAGAATTTACTCTATAAGTAGTAGAGGTCACGAAAATATTCATAGAAAATTACCAGCATTAATTACCAGCTTTCATCGATAAAACGGTCAGCTTCAATTACAATTCTTGTGGGAAAAACACATGAATGATTCTGGATGAATTTATACGTTTAATAATACTTTTTACCTAATTATAGCGGGCCCCTGCCGGGCACGGGCCCCAGGGTACCAAGCACGTCCACAGGGTTACGGGGCATGGGCCTCAAGGTACTGGGCATAGGCCCTGATTACCCCAAGCATCTCGGTACAACTGACTATGCCAGAGCAACAGACAGACTCCATGTTACATAGCTGTTACTGGTCACGTTGTGACATATTGTGTGTATAACTTACAGTTCGATCTGTATAAAAGTATAGGAAAGAGTATGGTTTGTAGTGATGACCCCCTAGAGGTCATATTTCCATGACCTCGTACTCCCTGGGTTAGCTCATCTGCGCAGACTGGCACCTTAACCGGCATGCGCGTTGAACGGCCAATCTCAGGAAGCCCTGGGAGAAAGGACGTCACTTCAAGTCAAGAGCTCATGCAACAAAAACATCCCGTCTTCCCGGGAATGGTAAAGAAATGAATGAACACTTGGATGCCCTAGACTTTGAAACACACAGGTTGCAATTGACATCCATAGGCACCCAGCTAACTAGATTCGATGGTGAATACTCAGTTCGCCCAATTAAATGTTAAGGTCGATAGGTTAGGGGAAGTGCTGGGGTCTCGCAGACCTAGGTCCCAATTACTGCCGTTGATAAGGTTGGGGTTGCAGATGGGGAGCAGCCTTTAACTAGTGGATGTTTTGAGCGCCGGCCAGCTGCCTGACCTTTTCCTGTCCACAACAGGCTAACCTACTGGGGTTGTTTTATCAGGGGTAAAGTTAGGGTTTCAGCATCATGCAGACTCTTCACCTGGGTTATCTTATGTGTCCATTGGTTTCCCAGAGGAGCTCTTTGAATGCAATCATGAACAGGGTAATCAACAAACAATTCAACCACAAGAAACTTCATCTGATATAGATGTATCTGACAAGTGCTCAAATGTTGAGGGATCAGTAATGACACCAGAAATTATAACTGCAGGAAAGAATTCTGGTAGTGAAGTATATGTGACTGCCAATGACGTTCAGACAACAGTATTTGTTGATACTGCAGCATCCCATACTATAATATCAGGTAAGGTGTACTCAAGACTTAAACTTTTACCACCCATTATATCTAAGCTGACCCTTACTCTCGTGGAAAGGGGAACTTCAATGCCGGGTCACATGGTGAGCCAGTTAAATTTCAGATTGGGGTCTAATGAGTACAATGAGGTTCTATGGATAGCTCCAGTCAGTGATGAGTTGCTTGTGACAAAGCGTAATTTCAGTCCCCAACATGAAATTGGGGGTGGTCTGATGTTTCCTTGGGATCCGGGTGGCTAGTCATTTCATATGAATCCCACACACTTTTTTGCCCGACCCCCTTCAAATCGCCCAATATTTAGCATGTTGGGGGTTCTACCTGAGATAACCCCACAGTAAAGTTTTTGGCTCCACGCCAGCATTTTCTGGTGAGTTAGAGCAATTTGAAATTTTCATGAGATTTGGTTAAAAAACTCACCTTCTGACAGACAACTGCTGATATCTCTCTTGAAACTCAACGTAATAATAACTTAACTTTATTGTTTCTCTTTTATAACAGAGGCACAATCGCTAAAGAGATATGTGCAACAATAATTAATAATATAAGAATAATAATAAAATATGTACATTTGTCTTGCTATAGACGTTTCTAACTTAACTAATACGCTGTCTAATTAAAACTTTATCAAAGTTCTAAATTTTTTATTTAACTAATAACGAAAAGAAATTATAATACGCATCCCAAGAAATAAAATACACACCACCGTGCTCGACACTGTTCATGCCATTGCCAGGAATTCCTGACGATGCGTGACCAATGCCGAAACTCGACAGTGTGCATTCCATCTCCCGGAGAATGCATTACACTTTATCTGAATAAACTGAAAAGAGACATAAATAAAACTTAGAAAAAAAAAAAGGGAAAAAAAGAAAAGAATAGGAGAAAGAACAAAAAAAAATAAAAAACCTCCCCCTCCCCTTTCCTTTTCCTCTCTTTTTTTTCTTCTTCCCCTCTCTTCTTCCCTTCTCTTCCTCCTTTTCCTTTCTTTTTTAAATTGGGTTTGTTATAAATTGGTGTTCATAATGAAGGTCATCTAGAAAAAGGTGATACTTAAGTTCAGGGGAACCTGAAATAAATAAGTTACAAACTAGATTTAGGTCATTGTGGCATAGTAGTAGTTGTAAATAAATTGTAATCTATTACACTTAAAAATAAAATGATCTATTGTTTCTTTATCATTGGAATTACATAATAAGCATCAACCTAAGTTTTGTGGAGACCATGATTGTTTTCTCCCTTCAAGAGGCAATGAATTAGTTCAGGCTTTAAATTTTAGGTTTGATGCATGGTAGAAAATACTTTTCCATTTTTGGTTTATTTTAATATCTTAAATAATTTTCTAACGATGATTTAGCTTGAGCATTATTAAACCATTTTATTTTATATTATAATTTTCTCTTTAATATATTTGAGCCATTTTGTGTTACAATCAATATTAAAATGCCTTTCTAACTCAAACTTATTCAAGAGGATTTCAATATTTTGCAGCCATTTCCAACTTATATTATTTTTTAGTGCAAAGAGAGCTCTAAAAAGTAAACATGGCCAACGATGCTCTTCCATATCTGTCTCTTATACACATCTAGATGTGTATAAGAGACAGCTTTTTATCGTGCACGTACGCGTGCGTCAACATTTATATATGCATAAAACCATGAATATTTTTAATCAGTTATAGCTCC